TATAATTTTAGTTTCAAAAATATTCTTGTACTATCATCTTGAACCCACATATTTTTCTTATATGATTATATAATGATTATATAAGTATTAATTCATTACTTTATATACTCTTATTTTTAAAGAGATTTTGAAAATAGACTTACAAAATAAATTTCTTTAAAAATGATTATTTTACAAATTAACATTTTTTTTAATAAAATTAGAATGAAAATTAAAAAGGATAATGAATTATAGGGTAACAAAATTTCACTTTTGTTCAGATTTTATCGCTTTCCTATTTTTATACATAATTACCGGTAGACTTATTTTTTTTATTAAAAAATATCCTTATTACTTGTAATAACCGGTTGGTAATTGTATGTTTTTTAACAAAAAAAACATGTTCATTGGTAAATGGTGTATCAAAAAAATAAATATAAACAAAATCGAAATTTTTTTGCCCTCGTCAACACTTAGCTTCAAGTAAAATCTACGGTATCTGCTAAGCTATTGGTTCTTTTTGCCAAATATATCCATAGAGAACAGATCACATGTTCTAAAAGACAAACACTTTACATATATTTCATCCATAATACATAAACCGTCATCCAAGTGTTATAAAGTTAGAAGCAATCAGAACATAATGCTACATATAATTGGTACGAAACACATTGAAAATGTTATTAGTCTATTGATGTTGGCACTGGCGCCCTGCTATGTTCAAGTCCAACACACTAACATCCTCACTATGGGTTCCAAACACCAAATAAACATGTTAGGTCTTTATATAAAAAGTTTCAACCCATTTCTTTTGGGTTGTTGCACTTTTTTAAAAACTCAATCAATTCTTGGTCTAAAATTAATGGCACATAATTAATACATTTCATTAATATTTAAAAACTTGGTTGATATCCATCCTCACATATGAAACTGTTATTAATGGTTTCTTTATTTGAGCTCAAATATTTTCCAACTATTAAAATACTCAAATACACCATAAACTACAAACATAGGTGGAAAATGATGAAGGAGGAGGTCACACCAAAAGGAAGATATTTTCGTTTGCTAAAAAGCTCCCAAAAGTTCCACAATTTTATTAAATCGTCACATTTTCCATTTTCCCAAACTTCAACTAGTAATTCTCTTATTTCCTCAAATAACAACCAAACATTCATCAATTCACCATCTTTATAAATAAATTCCTCCATATATTTATCTTTAAAATAATACTATTTACACTTTACCCAAAATTCTTAAAAGTAAATTTAGAGAATTTTTCTCTTTATTTATTTTTTAATGATGAAAATATTATATATATATTTTTTCTTTTTTAACCGACAAATCTAATCTACTCCTAAACAAACACCTAATTTCACTTATGTTCATGATGGAACTTGAACTCTCAACCTCATAGAGGAGGACACCACCTGATATGGCTAGAGTAGAAGCCATTTAGTTAGAACATTATATTTTTTTCTTATAAAATGGTTTCTATCATTGGAGTTGATGGTTCATTTAGATTTTATTTTATTTATTATTATTATTTTTATGGTTTTGGGTATGATATAATTAACCTCACTCATTCAATAATATTTAATTTTATTCTTTCTGTTATAATTATATTTTAAATCTTCATTAGTTTTGACTAATTAATTAATTTAATTTATTATAATATTAAATATTAAATTCATGAAGTTTATATAATTATTTTATTAATTTTTTATTTTTATAACTTTTTTTGAAATAATTTTATATATTTTATACTTTTGAAAAAAAGACCGCACAATTTTTTTTTTTGAATTTCCTCATTAATGTAATATAATTATTTCATTAAATGTATTGTCATGCAACACTTTTTTATAAAAATATAATGTGTCCTTAAAAATACAAATATGATAAGATGACTTTATAAAATATATTACAGAGATATGATATGTTAGTTAATTTTTAAATAAACTTTTGAAAATGACCAATAATAGTAAAAAAATTATTAAAATAGATTTTTGTAAAATAAAATTACTTAAAATAACAAAAAGCTTTGGAGAGATTAATGACTGCAAATGTCCTTAATATGAATTATTAAAAAGTGCTCAACTTATTAATTTCCTTTTAGACTATTATCAACTTACTTTTGTATATTTGATCGACATGTGATCTTGGGAAATCTCGAAACCAATTAAGGTGAATATAGGATATATTTATAAAACAATAATTTACACACTGGGTACAAGATAAATGGATAATCATATAATACACACTTAATTATTTCTAATGCTTATTTATCTCTTATACCCCCCTCAAGCGAAAGGGTGGTGGTCGAGATGAAGATTGGCAAGGATGAATTCAAATTGAGGTCGAGGGAAAACTTTCGGTAAAATTGGTGGGCTTAGAGGATCCTTAAACAACATTAAGGGACAACAGAAACAACAATTTTTTTATCCTCTATAGACTTGAAAACCGGATCTATGAACAACCTATCTAATGCAACTTTAGTATATGAGAAATCATACCTTTTAGGGTAATAGAAACCCTCATAGATCCTTGATTGTTTAATGAAAGCTAAGAGTCCAACATAGAACTCCTCTTTCATAGTCGCACCCAAGGCGCTCAGATCACCAACGCCCGACAACAACCCATGGATCATAAAAAACCATGAACGAAGTTCCAAAAATATGAATCTACTAGAACTACAGGTACCACGTTGTGGCAATGAAGCCACCACAAATTGGCGTCGTAATTTTGAGGGTTTCGGGAATGAAAAGTTAGGACCAAAATTTTCCTAGGGTTTTGAGTAAAACACATCATGATAATTCATCCATATGCCTCTCTATTTATAGGGATAAATATAAAATCCTAATAGATAACTATCTAGTTACCTAATAAATATCCATATTCATGGTAATTATCCAACTGCATAAATTATCCTATTTTATCCTCCAGAACTTCTAGATTTCATTTAATTAATTAATTACTATTAATTAATTAACAAATCAAGTCCATATAATTTTCTTATTGTCTTTTATTGCTTATTTCTATCCTTGCGTGTAACCCCAAATGACCTTACTATTAATAGTAATATTACCAATTGTTGTAATTGTGTTGTAATGATAGACACCATTCTCCATCACTCCCACTTGCACAAGTTACCAACACTATATAGTCTAATATTCACTAGTAATGAGTAGAGAGTATACAATCAAATGTATATGCCATACTCACAACATAGAGTCGTGATATAGCCCTTAGATAAGTGATCAATTATTCATTTGTTCTTCAAGATATATCTATATGAACATGAGACCTAGATATAGTCAATCTCAAACATTCAATATTTTGTTTCCCAAAACTGACTTGTGCCAGTCAAAAAACAAACTGCATAATTGATCCGTCAATTTAGTCTGAGCACGAACATGCATTTTTAATGTCAACACCAAATCATCGAGGGGCCCAAAAATATCGACTCTAAATATTAAAGAAGTAACAACTTCGATATGATAGCAAGAATAGTGTGACGAAAGTTGATATACCACCGAAACATGTCATTGAAGATCTTCTTTGCAGCGTAATCATTAGATTTACATCGATTTATTATATCCAGAATA